GAAGAATCAATGCTATAATTCGATGTTTTGTAAGTGGGTTAGATGCTACTAACCGCAACAAACGTGACCTGATGGTCTTGGTAGAATATTTCATAAGAAATAGTATGTGAATGACTGGATCACATTATGCTTCTCAGTGAAAATTGGAGCAAGTCGCAAGCTTTCTGGATAGTTTGAGTGCTAGTATTTGGTATGCCTTTTGAACCTTCAAAGTGTAAAAAGTTATTACAGGACTGGGTTGGTCGGGCTCTCAACCTCACTGTAACTAAGACAATTGTAACAGTAAGCAAATTTAGCTGTCTGGACAGCTACAACTCACCCGGCGGATGAGTCACAGGGGAAGTGTCTGTACGTTTACAGAAAACTCGACTGCTATTTGCCAATAAAAGGCATCTATGGCGCCGTCCAGACATCCGGTTATCTGTAATTGATCGAGTGTATGCTGCAGCGGTTCACCCAGTTCCGTTGTTTGTTTCAGAAACGTGGCCATCAAGAAAAAAAGATAAAGGCGGACTGTCACTGTTCGAACACCGTTGTGTACACTGCATTGTACGAGCCTGTTAGGGAAACCGGGGCGGAAATAATGAAGTTAAGCGCAGTCTTAGGTAACCGCGGTCGCTCACTAGAGCAAGTGGTCGACCTCTTTAGACTAAGTTGATTGGGGCATGTGTTGCTCATTTCACCAAATAGGTGGACGTTGTGTGCTGTTTTCTGATGCAAATGATGGTTGGAAGAAAGTAATGGATGGCATGAGGGTATAAAAATTCTTACCAGAAGACTTGATCGCAGGTCGCGTTAAGCTTCCTGGAGGGGACCGGAATCAACGTAGTTGATAGCTATGGGCATTAATATGTCTGAGAGTCGGAAACAGCGGCACTCAATTTCTTTGCGACTTTGGTCTTCGTGAATTTCCTATTTCCACTCAGATATTGATTTGAACAACCCAATCTACCCTTTACTCCTTTACTCCTTAATCCCAGTGAGCAGTCATTAGACAGCGATCAGAACCGGCGCACAAAAGTGCATAGTTAATGCTTGTTAGAACTGAAATTGATGGCTGAACGACCGGATGTCTTGGCTCTTCTCTAATTTTTCATCGCTCTGCTGTGCAATAAAAACATACAATACCACCTTTGATCATGCTACGCGTTTCGAGTTTGGCAGCGATCGGTGAAGTTAGCGTGACTGTACTTTGTTGTACAATGATGATGGTGGTGAATGCTAGTTTGGATATCACCTTGTTTATATCTGGTCGTGGTGCACAATCCAGATCGTGTTGTTGCCAGTTTTCAAATAATTACTTAGACTACCTCAGTACAAGTAACAGCTGTTTATCTTCAGTGAAGTGCATCCAAATTATTGGAGTCATGGTGAAGATCAGTCTCCGTTAATGGGTTCATGTTCTTAGTGATGTTGGAAAGCCGTGGTCTCTATTTATATTTTAACTTTCGTTTTCTCTTTTTTTTAAGATAAGATTTTACGAATTCATAGTGTTAGTCATATTTTCTTATTTTTCGTTCAGTGTCATTGTAAAACCTAATCACCACGGATGCTCTTGACAAACTTTTGACTCTTCTCAATGTTTTCCCTCTGAATTAACACTAGCTCCCTCCCCAACACTACAACTTCCAACCAGCAACATTTCTCGCGAACATACAGAAATTTTTATGTCAATAAGCTGTCACACCAACCGGATCACAGTAATAAGTAAAATTCATCTTAAATTTTTATTTTGAGTTTAGTATTGCAAGTTCTATGATTCGACAGTTTACTTTGTTGTGCTATACGCGTGACAATTAGTGTGTCAAGATTAAAACTATCGTAATCCGTTGTAAAAGCACAAGTTACACAAATGCGATCTTTTTATTCATAGAACAATGTAGACCCGTTTTTTGCTCAATGCCGACAACATACTGATAAAACAGTTGCGAGACATCGTCGTCGCAATTATCTGACAGCTATGAGCCGCTTGCGTAAAAAAAACCAGACAAAAATGGACTCCGCGACATCTAATGCTTTCGGATCTCCTGTTCCCAATACATGTGAATCTCGAATAAGCAATCACCTCGAACCACGTGTACAACGAAAACTGGAAAGCTTTCGCGGTTTGTACGAAGAGCTTCTCAGAATCCGTGAGAAACCATACGGTAAGTATGTAGTTCTATTGGTGATTTCCAATCTGGCCCGAATTCTAGCTATTTGTATCCAAGGCACAATCAATATCAAGTGAACCAGTACCTTAAGATAAATCGTGACAGCTTTTGATTTACTTGACCACTATCAAATATATACTGTACCCACTGATTTAATTTAACACCGAAAACAGGTTCTTTTGTGTGGGGGAAGCAAACAAAAGGACCTTTCTATACACATCAATTCAGTCTCGTTTTGCTATTTTTATTTATTACACAATATAAGTAATAAGAAAAGGGGGAATCCCCATCATAAACTAAATAAATAAATACTGTAAAATGGAGAGTATGGGAACATTTAAGTAAGATCCAGTTTATTGACATACAAGATCACCAGACCGAATACAGATAGGGGGAAGTTGAATAAGCACAAATTACGGAAAATTGCTTTGCTGAAGGACCAAAATGTTCGGCTATCAGTGGCGGACGAGACCAAGTTTTCGACTTTACAGCGAACGAAGCGTTCTTTGATTCCCTGAATGGCTTTCGAGCATCTGTTCCTAGCTTGCACGAAGCGATGGTGAGAGTCGGGAGTGGACACGCGACGGAAGGCCGAGCGTTCTAAGTGTACAGCTCGGTCACGTTGCATGGTTAAACCATTTGGGGAATTTGGGTTTGCCGGGTTTGGAGAAGTGCGGAATAAAAAGATGCATACTTTGAAAAACAGTATCGATGAGGTTGGAAACAGATTTGGAAACATCTGAAGGGAAACATGGTTAAAGCGACAAGAAGCTAGGAAGCCACGGAAACCGTCCCATTTGGCTGAAGTGTAGCGCCAGAATGTGTTTCGAGATGATCAATGCTGGTAGACCTAATGGAGCAAGAAACAATGCAGTGATCCGATGAGGCAAGAGGAAGGAGAGTACAAATATATAGGAGGAAAGAAGGGATCGAAGTGAGAATTATATCGTGTGTGCGGCACGATCGCCAGCTCGATTAGGGACTTGTTTCGGGAGGTGTATTGGGGATGTATGGAGGACTCGCGAAGCGCACTTAATAGACTAACATGTTCTGTTACTGCGTTCGGTTTGCGCTTTGCACCTTTGAAGTGCTTAGTGATAACACAAGGCTGTTCTTGAACTAAGTGACTAAGAATTGGCCGAAGTAGTTCTCTTCTCGTACTTGGGAAGCTGCGTACCCAACGATGGTGGCACAGTAAGGGCCATGATCGTGCTCACTTCCAAGGCTCAAACAGCGTACGCAGGACTCAAGCATATGTGTCTGTAAGGTGACGTTTTATAGAAGTTTAAAAGTTGCTTATGCTGCCTGACCGTTCAATCAGTTGTGCTTTACGTTTGTGAAACCTTGAAGTGGGAATGAGATGACATGCTTCGCCTGGAGGTTTTCGGCAATCGATGCTTACTTAGCCTCGCTTAGTGGGATAGGGTGGGCGGGTTAGTAATTTAGGTGAGTCGTCATGTGTCTGGGAATGCATCGTGCAAAAACTCGCTATGGCATGAAATTCATCTCAGTAGACTTCGCCAGTCAGCACACTTTATGTGTGTCCAACTGTGGCCTGTGCACCACGCTATATTTTCAGTTGCCACTCCAGGGCTGGAGAAAACCACGTGGAGGTCAACAAATGGAACGAGGCTTGAAGAAAGGCACCGTAATTAGGTAAAGTAAGAGGTCTTTGTCTTCCAGGCATTGATACAAAAGAATCCGTAACTGGTTCGTTATCGACACCAAAAGGACATGGCAGCAAACCGATAGCAGTGGAGTTCTTGTTATCACTTCGTATGAAAGCAGTTAGACTGTATACTCTGTGTGTTGACCACAGAGGTTCGCTTTCTCCACTGCACAATCCCTGTCCCTGTCACACATTATCACTTACGTTGTATGTGTTGTCAGATTGGTAGGTATCAGTGAAGTTTAATTCACTGTAATCCGCTGTATTCGGACGATGATGCTGATGATACTAGAGCCTTGTCTGTGACACTAAAGTCATTACAAGATTTTAC